TTAATGGTTATGATTAATTGGTAAAAGGATTTCTTCTCGTCCAATTCTGTCTGTAATCATACTCTCTATTAATAAATCGGACTCCCGCCTGGCGGTCGTCCGATTTTGTTTATCACTCGTATGATTACCAGTCCGGGCCATAACCATTTCTGGATACTTGATGACGTCACCAACATGGATGTCGTAGTGGGACATCGAGGAAACTCACTCATTTCTTTATTCGAGCCCTAGCGACTTAGTTCCCTACCCATATCCCATGAAACCTTGCAAAATTACAGAAGACAAGCAATTACACACAACAAGCAAAGAACTGATGGTGGTCGCGATGACAAGAAAGAAAAATTCAGATGAAAAGTCGGGTGGAGGTCCATGTTGCGATCGAAGGGCTCGATCGAGGAATAACCTCTCTTTAGTTGAGGTTTTCAGGTATGCAACATTTTTTTTGATTCCTAAAAAAAATCTTTTAAAAAACTAGAATAAATTTTCTTTCAATTTGTCAAAATTCCAATCGAGTGCACGAGGTATTTGCTCGAGTGCACGAATGTTGAAAGTATGTCAGTGTGCAAACTACCAGACGGATTCCTTTGTTCAGATCCATCGGAGTATCGTGTAAACCATAAATTTTAACTATACGTTGTGGCCGGCCAATTTAAAGTAAAAGGACAATTATTTATCGGACCTTTATAAGCCTACATTGTGAATTTCAGATCAAGCCAACAGCATGGATGAACACATTCAGTATCTCGAGACACTTTGTCGTCTTTGTGGCACAAATCTGCCACGGACCTGGGTAAGTGCTACAAACAAAGAATCTTTTAAATCGGAGCTCTGGATGAAATTTCGAATCAATGTCGATCTTGACATCAGAGAGATTCATTCAGCCAAGGCGAATGCACACTAAAAAATAATTTCAGGAAACCACGGTCCAACACATAAATGTGATTATCCAGCGAGTAAGTTCTCCCTCGGGCAAATATAAAACAAAGAGGTATTCGTTCACTGAGCTCTCACATCTTCAGGTATCGTATCCGGGAAATGTGCGATAAGAGCAGCATGAAGATGAAAATAAAGAAATCACATTGGTGGAAAGCCTTGCCGAAGTGCCTCTCTTACAGCATTCCGGAAACAAAGGTTGGAGTATAACTACACGAACTGATGAGAGTGAAATTTTCGTCTGAAACTACAAGGGACTTGTCTGTAATTGTGAGACTCGTTTAGAAACACCGCTCGTGCCTTCACATTTTACAGTGATTACTTAAACACAACTTTCTATACAGGGTGTTCAAATCAAAAAGGTAATTGTAAAGGACATAGTATTGCTGACTAAAAGCTGTAGGACCGAATTTGTAGTGTTCTGAGACCTAGATTCTTCCGCGAATCGATCAATAGCGCGCAAAATACCTTGTATGATTCTCTTGCATTGAATTCGATCATGTGTATTCGTCTTAATATAGATTGTGACTACTTGATTTTATTTTATCCCACTCATGTATTTATTGGCGTTTATTTTCCAGGTATCATAATTTCAAGATCAGAGCTCCACGTGGAACACCGCTTGTTATTCAAAGTGAAGACGACAACACGTATGACTCGCATGCACTGGCTTGTCTTCTTCCACGAGAAATGGAACGCATTCCAGAGGCTCTACGAGAAGTCCAGATTTTCAGCAAATCGCAGAGAAAGACATACACTTTAGGAGATGTCAAAGGGCAGCAGATCGGCACGGTTCAGCACTTTCTAAACATACAGCTGCATGCTTTGCTTCGATATGGCAAAATAACCAGGAATTGAAGGGTAAGTTACTGTTTTCTTGCTTTACTGTTACTTTTTCGTAAAGGCTTGATGGACTGAAGTTGATAATGTCTATTTGAAAATCGGAGAGAAGCAAGATATTGTCTTTCCTCGACCTATACTGGAGAAAAATGAAATTGTCCCGATTCCGCGATCTCACACCTCACTCGTCCCAATTGTTATCAGTGCGCGTTATTTAGTTCAACCTTAATTAATTGGTTTTCTTGTAACCCAAAATAGGGAAATCAACGGAGAACGGACAGTAACATCGAGGCCAAGCTCTACCCAGAACTTCTCCAGATACAAACAGGCTGGCGGAGGAGCTTTTATTCTCGTGACGCTCTTAATGGAAGGACCACAGCGTTACAAAGAATTTGTGCTAGAAAGAATCCGCTTTACTCTTCCAGAATGCGAGAATGTCGAGGACATGTATGTTGAATGTTTGAAATAAACGAATATTTTTAATGGTATCTTACGTCCAGTCCTTATTAGCGAATTTTGTTTCAGCTTACTACCGCATTACAACATGGCCGCCACAAAAAAAAAAATGCTTCTTCTTGTTTCCAGCACCTCTCGGCCAAATTTGCTTTGTTTTGGTTTTGATCTCACCCAATCACAAAGCTCGAAACCGATATCCAGAAATGGTTATGGCCCGAACTGATTACAGACCGTATTGGACTCTACTTAGTCATTTTACCTTCATTAATCAATTGCTTTATTGATGACAAAATAAAATGATTAAATGATGGCGTGATTCAGTGCACGATTAAGTGACTTATCTATCCCTCTATAGATTCATTGATTGCTTGACTGATAACTATAACCATTTTAAAATGACTTACTCAGTTATTTAGGAAACAATAAAACTTTCTTACAATCAAATGGTAAGTGGGACAGTGTGTATTCTTTATCATTTCATACCTTCTGGCCCGATCGTTGAGGATGTAGTATCCGTATTTCGCCCTCGCATAAAACTGAGTGGCTTAGTGCACGGCTGACCATGTGGTCCTCCCACACGCCCCTCTAGAACATCAGATTGCATCCTTTGATTTTGCAAGTCACAATCCTACATGGACATGAACTCAAATGGAAAACAAACTGACTCCTGCAATAAAAAAGTACAAAGTCCAATTTTTCCTGCACACAAAAGGTTAATATGAAAAAAGTAATCAGTGAACGTTTGATGGATAAATTATGGAAGGAAGTGGGAACATTTTTATTCTTTTTCCGAACCACAAAGTCCAACTTACAGTAATTTTACTTCTTTATTAATGGTTTAACTACACTGCCATGATTAACTTCGTAAAGGATTTTTAGACTGCTTACAGCCTTCTATTTTCTCGTATTTTCATTTCATCGTTGAACGTACGGATAGAATCGCGAGGAAAATGGACGCCAGCGCAGAACGAAAGACTTGACTGGGTAAGACATGGTTACTGAGCCGTTCGATTCGTTCGCTAAACCCACCCTCCACCCCTGCGTGCTTCGCGCTCCCTTCGCTCACTTTTTCTTTCGCGTGCGTGAATAGAGAGGCTGTGAACAGTCAAAGAGGATTTCTCTCTTCGCTATAGACAACCTTCATCCTCCATTAAAGTTCCGGCCGAGATTACGATGGTGTATGTATTTGAAAAACGTTCGATGACACAAAGAAACTTTTCAAGATAATTGAATTACCAGAGTAGCTTCTCGTTACAGCCTAAGGGACAAGATATTTTTGCCTGACGGGGGCACAGCCGGTTATGGTCTCCGGCCGCTCCCAGTTTCCCTTTCCATCCACAATCCTCGTTCAAACATTGAACTTCTAGACTGCTGGTAACCCTGTCCATGGCATAGCTAACTATCATTGACTCTGCCAAAGTGCTTTCGGCATTCAGGGCAAAGTGCCGTAGTTTTGCTTTTCTGTTCCTCTATTTCAAGAAGCCTCCTGTAGCAATTCCTACATGCGGAATGCCCACACGGCAAAGTTACTGGTCTAAGCATTATGGATTTGCTGAAAGCAAGATAGCGAAATGACAACCAAATCACAGCTAATACTACAGTCTCTTTGATACCATATTGTAGCATTGATTATAAAGAGTGGTGACATAGACCCATCAAAATCTGTGTCTTGAAAGAGCGTGAAACTGTTTAGAGGCAAATTAAAAGCCATGACGTTTTCAATATATCAAATTGTTACCAACGGAGAGTGGGGGGGGACGCATTCTGTGGAAATCCCTTTCGTTGTTATACAGTCCAACCTCTATCAGGCGGCCACCTATTAAACGGCCACCCCTATTAGGCGGCCAGTAATCAAAATGACGGTGAGGTTTTTTTTTCCTTTAAGCGGCCATTATACATTTTCCCGAGGGTGGCCTTTTATTAAGGTTTGAACAGTTCTATTTCGTCACTAGATCCTACGTATTAATGCGTGCTCTTTTCCACAGTTACATTTGCTTCTTCCTACTATGGCTTCTTTAGGGGGATTGTTACTTTCGAAAGTTACACTTTTTGATATAGTTAAATTTATTTGTGTGTGCGCGTTTATGCACAAGCGGCTGATTCATTGTATTGATTGAACATCTATGGATTCTGTGGTTTCGAGTTTACTCTGGATCCAACCTACACAAGATGTTAAGGTGACTACTTAAAGCCAAAACTAAGGGTGTTTTTAGTAGGTCGTACTGTTGTTATAATAAGCTATTGTGTCAAAAAAAATGATAGCAACTTGTTCATCTAAGGTGAGAGAGTCTTTTTGATAACATATTGTAGCATTGATTGTAAAGAGTGATGATATAGACCCATCAACATCTATGTCTCGGAAAGAGCGTTAAACTGTTTATGGGCAAATTAAAAGCCATGACTTTTTCACTATATTGAATTGTTTTCAGCAATTTATAGTCCATATTTGAAATTCACACACCCAGATATTTTCCATTTGTTGTAAATAAGAATTTTTTAAAAATTGATTTGACTGTCTGTTGTTCATTTGCAATGGCTGACATACAGTGGGCTAATGTCAGGGGATGAGTTGGTGAATGAATTTTCAACCTCTCATTCTTCTGCAAAGATCTTTTTCGTGCTTGATCCTTTACCATGTAAGTATGTAGAGTGTTATTAGATTATGGAAGCAGGATCAGTGCTCTGTTGGGGCGAGTCCTAATTTTATGTCATAAAACAAAAACCAGTTTTAACAGTTCTTAATATGTCCAGCATGTTTCTTGTAAATTTTCAATCCGCTACTCCATGTCAGTCTCTATTTCTGCACATGCCTGAGCAAAAGTGTTGTAAAACAAGATGTTAATAGAAAGAGAGGCATGCTTTCATGTTGCAAATGCCTTGAGTTAAATGCAAAGACATAAGTTTCTGTGGACGAAGAGTTTTGAATTATTCTGCAATAATAAATGACACTAAATTTTATAAACAAAAATTTGTGAACAGTATGCAGGGTTCCTTTTTATATGCAACTTAGCTTGCCCATAAAGGCATATCAGTACCACAAGATGATAATCACAAATCAGTACATTGAGAAGTGTATGCATAACTTTGATATTTTTGTTGATTATTACAGCAACTGCCACAAATACTACTATGTGTAAGTCATCTACGGTTGATTTGACTATGACGCCACCTCCCAAGGATGGAAGTAAGTTAAAAGGGTCATTTACTTTTTGCAGCCATACTGTTACAAATCGTCATCGTTTCATGTACATATTAATAGAGGGTTGAAACAGATCAGGGAATGGTCAGGGAAAAAAAAAAGTTAATATCAGGGTAAAATCAAGGAATTTTATTTTAATTCGGAAAGATTAAAAATTTCATACAACTGATTTCATACCATTGAAGGCTGCTTTTAATTATTTCCAATTTATGATTTAATGCAGAATATCTATGCGCAATGTAAGGGGGGCCAGAATAAGAATGGATTTGACTTACTTGTTTATTTTTAAGAATTAACCCGGAGATTCTTAACGGCCTTAGCAAAGGTAAGACTCCCACCCTGTACATTTATCATTCAATCTCAATTAGGTGATGAGTTATTCAACCAAAATTGTACTTTCAAAAGAGTAATACAATAGGTTTAACACTCCTGCTTTTTGTTCTAAATGGACAATAAATGCAGTCACATGCAATTTAACAGAGTTAACAACAACAAGCGCGTGTGTTTGCTCATGTTATAGTTAGTAGTTTTTTTGATATGTGCATGCACCAGGATCTTTGTGCTCCTGTACTGAGACTTATTGACAGCCTTCACATCGACTGTTTACAGTGAGTGTTGTTTTGGATAGGAGCTCCCTCCCTCCCTTTTTCCTCTGTTAGACAGTTCATTGTGGCAGTTCCCTGTCTCCCCTCTGTGTGGGGTCTTACGGCCCGATTTCCAGGGTTTTCCAGCAATGGAGTGGTCTCCATGCAGGGGCAGGTGCCAAAAGTGGAAGCTCCAGTATCTCTCAATTCTTTACATACAATTACATATATTCCAGATCAAATTATAGTTACAACTGATGATGAGTATGAGAATTCATCAGGGCCAAGTGGTGTTAGGCAAGGTGAGGCACAAAAATATCCAATATAAATGTCCAATTCAAAAGTCAAGAACATTGATTAACCACTGACCAGCAAATTTAATCGTGTAAGATCTTCTGTCATTCATGTGTTTCAAATGAAAAACTTTGAAGCTTAATCTTTAAGTTCCTTATTATTGCACACTATTTTTTGAGAAGAAAGATTGCAACAGACAAACTTTGATTTCAATTTGTAAGTCATGACTTTTGCTATACATTATTAGTGTATGAATACTTTTCATTATGTTTCATTACAAACTACACTGCCAATAATATTTTGGTTGTTAACTATTAATTTCAGAGGACAGATCAGGAGTATTTTGCCTCGATGACGAACCTCCAGCAGGTTGGAATATCAATAACTTTTCATGATTAATTATAAATCCCTAAATAATAAAATAAGCATATAACTTGTCAACATTGCAGAAAGGGTTGTTGATTTATTCTATGGGTAATTTCTATCATGCAGCCAATTGATCTGAACATTTGTGAGTGTGTTTTTAGATGTGGGTACTTTGTCCGAAAATCCATCCTTTTCCGGAATGGAGAGAAAGAGTAAGTTACAACACAATTAATAATGTAAGCTGAGCTCTTTAATTACACTGTGTTCATTCTGCCCTTTCCAGGCCATGTGCATTTTGTAGTTATTATTTGGTTTCTATGAATGAGGGAGGGAGAGAGAGAGACAGAAAGCTTTCCAATGATCCAACTGACTAAAGAAATGATGAAGGAACATACATCGTGTCCCACCCCTCCTCTCTCTTGCAGAAAGCTTTACAGTTTTATCATAATTTTTACACAATCACCTGTAGAACATTTTATGAAATTGTTTTTGTTACATAACTGCAGTGAAACATTTTAGAATCCACATCATTTCTTTTTCTATGTGCTGATTGTACCTTGCCAACATGTAGAAAAACCATATTGAAACCTACAAGGTTTTGAGGTGACAGCTTATTTCCATTTGTGAAGATCTGATTATCAAGAAAGTGAATGCTCATAACAAATTACAAGTAACTTTAAGGTCCAAGTATTCTCTTAAACTTCCTAGTTACTGGAAAATATGAAGGTCGCACTGAGGAGGTGGTATCACTGGCAATGTTGATGTTGAAAATGGCAGCCACTGACACAGTGCCATCTTTTTTGACACACACTTTTGACGAGGTTAGTGAATGGTTTTTTTTTTGTAATTTCTTTATTTTTATTATTTTTTTTGGCAACATTTTTTAACATTTTACAAAACATTACTCTACTTACAATACAGTACAGGGCTCAGTAACGATACGTCACGTACAATAATTTACTGGGAACACACTACTGACAAAGTATAGCTTACAATAACCTTGACTACAGTAGATGACTTACTCTTGATTACTTACACTACCTACACAATACTCTACATTTACATTATTTTACGACATATTACACTACTTTCAATATATTACGGTAAATAACTTTCAGTATCTTATTACTGGTAATAGTATATAGCAAAATTGTACGTTTTTCCTGTTGCTGTTGCTAACTTTCAAAACGTTTTGAAATGCCATCACAATTTACATAGCCATCTTTCCCTGGCCACACTCATTTAACAGACAAAATTCCCACAGTATTTGAGTAATATTCTGAAGTTGAGATCAAGCATAAATTAATTATGTTAAACTATTTTAATACATCAGAGCCTTTTTTCTACATTGCCACATGGTTGTGAACAGAATGGACTGATGTAAGGCTTTCCATTATCTGCATGTTGCCATTCACTTATCCAAACATTGCTCTTGAATTTCACACCTAAACTCCTCCTGATGAAATAGACACACCCAATTAAGAAGACCTTCTCCCTCGTATTTTCTGGAAATGCTCAAGGGGATGAGAAATTTAACCAAATTTCCAGTATTCCTTGAATCAAAGGTTACAGAAGATTGTTGAATGACTGCATGTTCAGCTTAATCATTTTTGTTGTCTGATTTCTGTTGTAGTTGATGTATCAATCAAAACAAGATTTAGTTGTTTGTGTATTGACTGTTTTGTCAACACATTCACAGAAGGCATCCGACATAGGTAAAAATTTGAGGTGGGTACATGTTTTTCTGTTATTATAACTTGTTAGTTCTGTTTGTCCAAAGACATAAGACAAAATCAAAATTAAAACTAAATTAAAGTTTCAAACCCAAGATTGACATATACTCTCAAAACATAAATAATTATCAATTCTGCAGAAAGGTCTTATGTATGCATGTCTCAATAATTTGTGGTTTGAAGCAGTAAATTATGTTCCAAATTGTTGAGATTAAATGCCAAATATATTGAAGAAATCCCTCATAAATGCACTTGCTGTTAAGAAGGCCCCATTAACGTGTGATAACACCAGTGGTATCTATTCACTGTCTATCTGATCCCGCCCATGATCCTGTGGTAAAATACCCTCAGGAAAGGGTGGTCGATTATTAGCATTCTTTTTTAAGTTGATAGTGGCTCATAATCCCCACTCACTCATTTCTGTTTGCTTTTTGAAGATTAAACAAAAAGACCCTCTGACATCAATAAATATTTATCACTGAAAAAGGAGGAGCGGGGGGGAAATTGAAGTACATTTAAAGTGGTGACTTGTGAAGTCTCTTAAGGTTGTACATTGCACCTAATAGTCTACAAGAGTCAGTTGTATTGGGCCAAATTGATATACATGTGTAACCTTCATGCAGATTATAATTAAGTGCATAATCTGGGGGTTGCAAGACACCAGGTTTACATATTCACTACTTCAATCAAGAAAAGAATAGAATATTTTTCTCATTTTCATATTAGTTATTCTAAGTTTGCCTTGTCTCACAGTTACAACAAAATATGGTCTGGGTAATGCCTTGAGCCTACTGATCTTAGCACCAGGCAGCCATGTTCCACATTGTGTCGAAATCTTTGATGGCATGAAGTTATTTAACATTGTTTTTTGCTTGAATTCAGGAGTTTATGAAAGGCTTTACAGCACTCTTTCATTTGGTTGGTTGGTTGATATAAATTATATCTGTTAGCATTTTTCTGCTTTACAATTCACAAATAGGCTGAAAATTGAAACATGGTACTCAGTTTCAAATTAAAAGAAGTTCTAAAGCTCTAATTTGCTACCTTAACTCCCCAGAGTTGAGTTAGCAAAAATAAGTTGCTACATTAAGCTGAAATTGATGCCTACAGCATCAAGCTGTAAGCTTGCAGAGTAAAATTGTGTATATGTGTTTACATAACTCCAAGGAAAAGTGCATTTGTTCTCTCTATTTTGAGGTCAAATTGTAGTATTATGAAACAGTATATTGTATTATTGTCAGACTGTCGTATTGTCGATTGTTTTTTTAGAAACAAGCATGGTAGAGGGAAGAGTAAAAGAGGCAGTAGAGGCTGCTCTGGAAGTATGCAGTACGCTGAGGAATGTAAGGTAACATAATCAAATGACATGTATACAGTAATGTGCTTCATTGGCCATTGAGGGGACATATTTTATTTATAAACACCTGTAGATATACTAACATCATACACGTGCACTGCGGTTGAAGAAACGAATATAGAAACAATCCTAGAAGTTATGAGCACTACTGAACTAGTTGTTATAAATACCTCTTTATCAGCTCTTTTTGGTGATTTTTCTAAAATCATCCCAAGTTAGTTAATCATCAGGATGTATATGCAGTTAAATAAAAATTGTCTTGACATTTCAGTTGACAATTCTGCCGAGTTTCAATTTCAGCACAGAAATTAATTGGAACTCATAACTTAAGAGGCAAGAATGAATCAGCATTTTCAGGACTGCTAAAATGATACTGTACAGTTCATTAAAAGATGTTGTGGCTCTCTGGACAGACCGTTGGGGTCAATTCCAAATATCTCACAGTTTGTGACACCTTAAACACGTATGACGATAACATATGTAGATCCTTGCCCACGCGACGCCACTGAGGAGGAGGGCCATTCACTAACTTAGGGTATTGCTCTGCAGTTGAAAAGCTCATAAATATTATCAATGATACTTGCATATAAAAGCCTCGTAAACACATTTCATAATCACTTTCGACAATCCCTGATTGAGAGAAGAGCTAAGAAACATGAGTAAGTTTTACGAAGTATCGAAAGTGCTCAATAAGCGTACAGACGCTCACAGACGTTCACGGTCGCGTTCAGTACCTCGTCCGCTGGCATGGCTATGGAAAGAAGTACAATAGCTGGGTGGATGAAACGGATACAAACAAGCGCCCAAAACAAGCGTTTAGTACACGCCACCAAGGAACTCCAGGCTTGCTGCTGACCATGGCTGTGTTAGTTGTAGAGAAGCTGAACATGAAGAAACCACCAACAACCAGCATCGTGAGACTTACGTCCGTTACCATGCCGTTGGATACCAGGACCTTTAAAGAGTTGTTTGGTGGACTTCCCTCCGTGCCAAACCTCACTTTTAGATCGCGCTGATTGTGTGCATCCTTGGGGTTGGTATCACTGAAATAATCATACTTAAAGGGGCTTCATTCAGTGATCTTTCAACCAGTCGCCCTTTTGAACTAGCTTCGTGTCTTGCCAAGATTGCTTATAAGCCTTGAACCTGCTAGCGTGTTCCGAACAACGTTCTTTTCATTTTTGCCTCAAAATTATGTAACACCAGAACCTGGTAATTTGACACTGATACCAGTACCAGTTCATCAATCATGGAGGAAGCAGGGCACGAGGCTTGTTAAGTGAGGAGTAAATGCACCCGTATTAAGTACTTCTGCCTGCGGCCTAGTTGCGTTTGTAAACACGAAAGTATTTCTTAGTCAAACAGCACATGATAGCTCACAGTAAAAGCTATTAAATCCGCCGGTGGTCCTTGAAATGAGCTACATTTATTCTCGATAAACTGGCTGACATTTCCAACGGATTATACACAAAAACAAAAAGTATTTAGTCTAGATTTTGATTTCCCTGTTTGGCTGTTTTTTATACCGACGGATCGAAAGGCACCAATCACAGATAGCGTCGTTTTAGAATTCACCAATCACCATGCGCGAAAACAGACCAATCAAACGACACAAAATTTAGTATATAAGTCGCGCACTCTTATCTTAAAAGTTGCAGAAGTAAAGTGAGAAGAATCCTATAGACAGACTGAAGACTTAAAAGTTGCAGAAGGAAAGTGACAAGAATCCTAAAGACAGAGTGAAGATGGCGCAACAAGAAAACAAAACTTTGGAGGTCAGTATGATAGTGTCAAAACAAGACTGTCGTGGCAGGCAAGCAGCATTTTTAATACGTTACAAATGTTTTACGTTTTTAGGACCCTACCGCCTATATCTGTGCCGAGTGCCAAGACGACATGCTTGACTATGAGAACATTCTCAAAGCGCAAACCAAACAAAAAATTCATCAAACTCGAGTTTTTTTCCAGCTCTTAAAACTGGTTAAAAAGGAAAACCTAGAAACCGCGACGGAATTGGTGAAGGAGTACGTGAAAAACCCTGAGGATTTTTAACACGAATCGTGTAAAAGTACAAACTCTTGTAAATAAAATGCGAGTAAAACTTATATTTGTGTCATGTCTTGTTAGTTGTAGATTTATTTGATGATGGCAAAAAGAAAGAATGATGATGTGGAGGAAGAGGATAGTATCTTGGATGACCTATTAAATCAACGTTATGATGAACTTGAAAAACAACAGTATGGTGGGGAAATATCTGACGATCAACTCAATGAATTGTGTGATCAATTGGACCAACAACAATTGGATGCCCTCAATATAGACTTGGGTGTGGAACAATCAGGTGGCGCTCTCTTTAACTTTGAATTTCAAAAAGCTGGATTCCCAAAAAATTGGAAAAAGACAGCAGATAAACAAAGATACGAGGCCACCCTCAAGCAGACACGAACTCCATCCCAAGACGATAATATCGGAAAAGAAATTACAAATGCGTTAGCGAGGTAAGAGTTTAAAAAGTGTGTTGAAAAAAAGTTTCAGGGGATAGACTCTTATCGAAATTTATTTTGGGTTATTTTTTTTAGATCGATACGGAAACAAATTCAGCAAAAGAAATGTTCATCTCATGACGCGTTCCATTTCACCTTACAATCGAATCAATTCGCCCACGCCCAACAATCAGCCACATTCAAAGTAGAAGAAATCATGAAGAATTCAGAACGCTTTGAAAATTACATGACTACTATGGCTAATAAATTGAGTTCAGGAGAATCGTTTAAATCCTCTTCTAAGTTTACCGCCGACCTTACCTTTATTCGAATGCCTAAAGGTGGTAAAAGTGGTAGACAAAAAGCTCTATTGGGAAAGCGATCCATGGCTGAAGTTTTGAAAAAGAAACATTCCGTGATTCAAATTACAAATTCAGACGAATTGTGTTGTGCAAGAGCCATTTGTGTCGCAAAAGCATGGATCCATAAAGATGAGGGGTATCGACAGAAAATCGATTACGGGAATGCAAAAAAATGTGAGACTGTTAGATCACGAATGGCCCATCAACTCCATGAAGATGCGGGCACCAAGAATTGAAAAAATTTCAAGACTTCCTAGCACCAGACTACCAATTGAAAGTGATGGCAACTTCCTACCCCTACATGATGGTATTTGTAGGCCCAGAAGCACCGCATATTATCCGCCTCTTGCTCCAGAAACACGATGACTCTGAGACTGGTCACTATGACACCTGCACATCTTACGCTGGTTTTCTAGAACGATCCTATTTTTGCGATCAGTGCAACAAGGGATTTGATCATAATGACTTCAGACATCATCCATGTGAGGGTCGAAGATGTCATGCATGCAAACAAGTAGAATGTGGTGCAAAACCTGATTATGCCTTGCGTGAAGTAACCTGTTATTCTTGTTGCCGAAAGTTTTTCAGTCAGACGTGTTATGACATGCATAAAGAGAAAAAGATCTGCGACAGCCTTGTTCAATGCCCTAAGTGTCGTAAGGAGTTTCAAACCTCAGCGTCAAAAGAACCTCACCAATGCTACTTTGACAAATGCTCCGTATGCCATGAATATGTAAAACTCACAGAACACAAATGCTTTATTCAACCTGTGGCAGCCAAAGAAGATCAAAGAAAGAAAAAAACCAAAGCAACCCTGAAACGCCATAGAAAAAAAATCCCTTGGCCTCAGTGTATGAAGAACCTCCCATCTTCGTCTATGCTGATTTTGAATCTATGATAGCGGAAGATAACACACACATCCCCGTATTGGTCTGCGCCCTCACCTCTGAAGATGATACATTCGAAACCTACTACAGGGAGAATTGCACGGCTAACTTTCTGAACTTTCTCACCCAGCTCAACGAGGATGAATATGGCGACCCACGCGAGGTGATATGCATTTTCCATAATTTAAAGGGATACGATTCTATGTTTCTACAGCATCAGTTGGTAAAGGAAGAAAGAAAGATCGAGGACATCATCGCCATAGGCACTAAATGGTTATCCTTCAAAGTGGGTCAAATCACATTCAATGATGATTTATGGAAAGAGCTGTATACGCGGCATCATCCATCTTGACATTTGCAGCGGTGTAGGTTACAGGAGAATCAATTTCGTTCCACCATCCAGCTGGTTTGAGTATCGTCTCTCCATCATTCCTGTCATAATTAAGGATCGTCTGTATGAAAGCTTTAAGATGGTACATGTCTACTTGTTCGGTGAGTAAGGTACCATTGGCTCTGAAATTGATTTGCTTGAAGAGGGTGTGTGCAATATTGTTGGCTGGTGAAGTCATCACACCCACATTGTTTGCGCGTGCTGTGAGATTGGCATTTTCTCCTCATTGACGTCTGGGTTTGTAAAGCGTGTACGATAATTTTTTCTCTAATTCTCTTTTACCTTGAGCAATAGAGATCTTTTGAGCTTTGACATACGGTGCCACACCACCCAAACTACCGACGACACCGGGGTCGTCATACAAGTCGTCCTTGACATCTTTCTTAATGTTCTTAACCATGATAAATGACACCAAAGTTTGAAACAATGGTAGGTGACCCAATCCTTATGAAGGTACTGCGTATACAATTGATTCCACGTCTTATATGTATACTTCCCATCATAGTATCTCATAAACGTCATCAAATGTATATATATCTGGATCTATATCTGGTCTATATCTGGAGTACTTCCCATCATAGTATCTCATAAACGTCATCAAATGTATATATATCTGGATCTATCTAGTCTATATCTGGAGTACCGTCGATCGATGCCAAATGTTACCATGTCAAATTTAGTCAAAGAACTAGAGGGCTATAAGCTATGTAATGGAGTGCAGACACTGGAACTAACTAGTAAGCTATTTCATCACGTTGTTCCCATTAATCACGACACAGTGAGTGAACATGAAGAAGAAGAAGCAGAAGAAGAAGAACAGCAATAGTTCCCTCATAAAGGTTTTTTGGGGAGCCAAGGGATGCTTACTTATACAGGAACAAGGAGAAGCTTGTTGTGTGTGCACAACATATGCTGGATGTGCAAACAGTGCACAAAAAGCAAAGGAAAGTAGGTCTTCAAAGCCTGCACACCTGAATGCCCCGGTGTCAAAGACAGATCCAGAGCGGATAAAGTTAACATTACAGGAGCTGAGGCTGAAGTGCGCACAGCTTGAACAAGCATTGTTTGAAATGCGAGTAGAACTAGAAAAGTCAAGCATGGAGATTGACAATGAACTCAGCAATGACTTTGTGAAAATCCTTGATTCTGCAGACACTAAAATAACTCCATTCATGAAGTTATTTTGGCAAGAACAAAGAAAGCTGTTTACTAGGAGCACTACTGGAGTGCGTTATCATCCGATGATAATCAGGTTTTGTTTATCTCTGGCTGCAAAGAGTCCATCATGTTATGAGGAACTACGCAACAGTGGGGTGCTAGTTCTGCCAAACCAAAGAAGGTTGAAGGACTACAGAGATGCAATAAAACCTGAGAGGGTTTCAGAAGGAAGTGATTGAAATGCTCAAGTCAGAGACATCAAGCTATTTTGATGTCCAGCGTTACATTGTTTTATTATTTGATGAAATGAAGGCGAACGCAAATCTTGTTCTAGACAAGGCCACTGGGGAACTTATTGGTTTCACAGACCTTGGTGACCCAGAACTGAACTTTGCTGCATTAGAGAAAGTTGATGTCATTGCATCACATGCTGTCATATTTCTTGTACAAGGAGTGTGCACTGAACTGAAGTTTGCACTTGCACACTTTACCACATCTGGGATCACTGCTGCACAAATGATGCCTTTGTTCTGGGAGGCAGTTGGTATCCTGGAAACCTCCTGCAACTTGTGGGTTGTTGCGGCAACCTCAGATGGTGCCTCTCCAAACAGGAGATTTTATTGCCTGAACTCGATGCTGGTGCTGGTGGTGACCTATGCTACCGCACAGTGAACTTTTATGCCCCACACCGTTTCATATACTTTTTTTCAGATGCACCACACCTTGTGAAAACCACCTGGAACTGCCTGAAGAGCCCAGGCTCTGGCACCTGTACAAGATATATGTGGAAAGATGGCAATTACATCTTGTGGCAGCACATCACAGAGATGTTTTTCCAGGATGTTGATAATGGTCTGAAACTTTTACCGAGGCTGACATACGATCATATCAATCTGAATGCTTATTCTGTTATGCGGGTGAATCTTGCTGCCCAGGTCTTGAGTGCCTCTGTAGCATCAGTGCTAAAGACCTTTGGCCCACCAGTGGCTGCAGGTACTGCCAGAATCTGTGAGATGGTGGACCAGTTCTTTGACTGCCTCTATGTGCGAAGTCTTACAGAACACCAGAGGAAGCGTAAGCCATTCTTGGCTCCTTACAGATCTGTTCAGGATGAAAGGTATGTCTAGTTTCATGGCAGATACTAATTTATTATGCATATTTAGTCATGTTAATGTCCCTGCAAAAAGGCTGCTTGCGCTTATTTTGTCCCTGTGACATGTCACAGGAATTCAAACCAGTTTGAATTTGTGTGACAGAGCCATGGGGGGGGGGTACTCGTACCATACATGATGGGGGGGGGAGTTTCCAACAGTTTTTTTTGGTTTGAAAATTTACACCTTCGGTATTTTTTTGGGTGGAGGTCTGTTATGTATTTTTGGGGTTTTATAAGTCTATTTGATTGAATAAGTCAGTATTGTGGTATTTGTCTTTTTTTTCTACAATAATCAATTAAATCTATTTAACAATAAATTTTTTTTTGACATTTTTCATAGATTTCAGTTCTTGATGGAATTCCTCGAGTATCTGAGAAGCTGGAAAGAGAGCACCGAAAACAGACCTGGAAACTTCAGTCAGAATGCAAGGGCACGCATGTTTCTCTCCTGGCAGACGTACGAAGGCTTCCAGCTTACTGTTCAATCTACCATTGAATCTACCAAGTTCCTTCTTCAAGAGGGTATGGAGTATGTTCTGACGGAACGATTCTGTCAGGATCCTGCAGAAGAGTTCTTTGGTAAGCAGCGACAGCTCGGTAGACGAAGTGACCACCCAGACATAAGTCAGTTTGGGTACAATAGCAACACTATAAGAATTGAGAGGTCAATTTCATGTCAAAGTGGAAACACTAGAGGCAGGAAGGACAAGAAGAGAGCATGGGTGCAGGTTACAGATGAGAAGTTGCCGTGTCGAAAAAAGCTCAAACTTTAATGCAACTGTGGCTTGCAATTGCCTGGTAGGATTTATGTATATTTATACATGTCTATCATTATCAGAGGACAAGTGTAATTGCATGGAGTGCTGCCAAAACATTCAAAAGTTAAATAACAAAGAAGTCTGTCTGAGAATCTTGACATGACAGGAATTATTTCAAAACATTTTACAGTTTCACAGAAGTAGGTTTTGGGTTTATAGACAATGGTCCATATTTCAATTCCTGTCATTATGGTTAATCCCACAGAGATATTTTGTTTTCAAAATTATACAGTTGAGGCTAACAGGTCACAGTGCTTTTTGTCTCATTTGAAGGGTACCATAATAACTGCTATTTTTGCATTTTTACCATTCACATATTATAAAAATTGTACTTGCCAAAAATATTTGGGGTTTGCCTAGTAAAAAGGGCTCCTACATTTTTTCCGAATTATTTTAATTCCCATAGGCAATGAAAAATTTAACAAATAATGTATAAGGCAGGGAATTGAACAACTAGCAAGATATTTCAGTTCTATGCTAGTTAATGTTTTATTTTACTCTTGCCTAACTGTTTCTTGTTCATGACTCCTCATGATTTCCTTTCGGAGTGCTTTACCCTTTGATTGCTTTGCATTAATTTTGTAGCGCTGAATGATGTCTTTAGCACAAGAAAATGACCGTACCCTTATATATAAGCTTACAATAGCATGGAAGACATTGTTGCTCACTTCAACATTGGGTATCAGCTCTGCCTCTGAAACCATACATTGATAGCTTGACAATATCGCACTGTCAGTTACTGTGTTATGCACTATGCCAGCAATATCCACTTTTTGCAAAGAATTTACTGAAGTTAATTGTCTAAAATGACACTCTGTTTTGAGGAAAATGCTCTGTCCATACTTTGTAATGTTCCACAATCCCCCACGGTTTAAACTCGATACCAGTTTTTGGTTCTCATATCCATGCTCCAGTTTACCAGCTCTCAAGATTGCCTGTTGGGTCTCAGTTGTGTTCTTTCTTGCATACTTTTTGTGCAAGTTATACAACACATATCCACCTACATACTGCAGACCAGCTTGTTCTTTCTCTGACAGCACTGTTTGAACAGAAGGTGGGTTTTTGTTAGAAGACTTGGTGCCTTTGCAGAAGGATTGGATAAAATCAGCTACCTTGGTCGCAAGAAGTGTTGCAGCATTACGAGACAGTCCTTTGAAAAAAATTGTAGATTTCAATGGTACTTGGGTATAATAGTTGCCATAGAATTTCTCAGCATTCCCAGTTTTGAAATAGTCTTCAAATAATTTCTTTATCACAGTGAATTCTTGTGTTTCTCCCCCAGGCTCTTCATATTCATATTGTTTTAACTTGTTCCTTAGATCTGCTGCAAACACTTCCCTTTCACTAATGTTCTTCAAAGCATTGTTTACTATCTCAGCAAGAATGCTTGGCGTCAAAGTTAAATGATGTGTGTTTTGATTTGCATTGTGCTTTGTAGCTCTGTGCCTTTGGTAGCCTCCTCTTGATTTGTACTTTTTTCCACAATCGCTGCACACGATCTCTGTTGATTCGACCTGAAAACGAAAAAGTATCAAATCATAATTCAATAATATTGTAGTCTTCAGGCCTCGACTTTCTACGATCTGATGTCACTGGTCTTATTTCCTAAAGACACATTTGCCAATATCGAGTTTGTTGTTGTCCTTGCATGCCCCGTGAAGTCTTCTCAAAACAAAGTGTAAGCGATCAAATTTCAGCACCTAAAGCAACCACAGCACTTCTGCTAAAGAGAGTGAACGCGTTTTTTTATGAAATTGCTAGAGTATAGAGGGAAAAGAATCATCAAAACCGTCGGATCAATGATTTATTTACTGTTTTTTGGCGTGACAGCACAGTCGCGTGCAACTCCGTAATTCCGGCTCGTGGCTCGTGTACGACGACCTGACTGACGTCATTAGTTATTTACCTTCGTCACCGATTACTGTAGGCACATAGGGTACATAGGAACAGAGGCCCAGAAGGACAGTAAGTACAGAGGAACAGTAGGCACAGAGGAACAGTGGGCACAGAGGAAGTGGGAACAGAGAAACAGTGGGCACAGAGGAACAGTAGGCACAGAGGAACAGTAGGCACAGAGGAACAGTGGGCACAGAGGAACAGTGGGCACAGAGGAACAGTGGGCACAGAGGAACAGTGGGCACAGAGAAACAGTAGGCACAGAGGAACAGTGGGCACAGAGGAACAGAGGCATAAAATTTGAAAAATACAAGCCTAGGAAACCAGGCAGTGTATTGCTTTTCTGTTTTCATTTCCTTTTTATTCCATCAAGTAGAACTACATTTTCTACTCTTTTGTTTGACGTTCATTTTTTTTGGTTTATGTATAAATCACAAAACCAAGATTAAATGCTTGAATCATGAATTTTAATATCCTTTTTTCATATTTGCCTATTGAATATGCAAAAATAAAACCCTGCGAAATACTATCTTACCAAAGTATAAAAATTAAGTACCGATAAGGTACACAAAAACCAGAGCGCCCAAACCGGCATGTCTACAGTTTGTCGCCACAACATTGATAAGTGTTGAGCCAAATTCTTCACCTGCAAATTTAATTCTGATTAACTGCTTGATAACAGATCATTATTTTTAATTGAACCTTGACCTCTGATGACTGATGCTAGAAATGGTTTGGCAAACATTGTCCATCAGAATTTCTACAAATTAAAAAAAATAATCAATAAATATTCATCCTGAAAGATTACTTACAGCTGTTCATATACTTAGAAAAGGAACAACAACTAATAAAGAACTTTATGTTTTCATAACACAATAGCATCAATCCTTCAAAATTCCTTGATGAACAGCTTATCAGGAATCATCATTTTCAGATGCAGTACTTGTTACTGGATTACTAAAAAGGTGTTTCATGTTTTGCAGCTTGTGAAGTCTAATACAGAGAATGCCTCAAGTGACCACTATGAACGGCAGAGGCGCATCCTGCTATGTAAAGGGCCTTTTGTGTCTACACGTCTGGCCCAGCGCAATTTTAGTGGGAACACGAGGCCATCTGCTGAGGTTCTAAGTGGCACAATGGAAAATCTGGCAACAGATGGATTTGGCACTGTCGTATCCGTCGACAGAAGCACCATCTTCTACAAGAAGCTCCCAGCAGATGTAACTGATGAAGACTTGGCCACATATGAGGTGCCTCCGGAAAAATACCTCCAAGCCTTTAATGAGCGGGCAGACAAATCCATAATCACAAAGGATCTATTTAACAGATTTCTCGACCAGTCACCACATAAAGACTGCTTAAAGAATGAGCACGATATCACACCAGAGGACACCTAGACAACTGGAAGTAATGTAAGGGTACATTCCTCTAGCTCATTGCTAAGTAATGCAGTTTATCACCGTGCAATTTTCCACTTCGGGGTTTTGTGACCAACAATTTTTCATACATTTATACTCAGGGAAGTTTGACGTTTCATTTGCTGATTTTTTTATGGAATAAGTGACACTTACTTCAATTTCTGTTACTGACTTCATTCAATTTTCAACTTTTGGAACATTGTTTTACATATTATACAGGGCGAGCAACACAGTCCAAACATGAATAAACTACAGGCCTCAACAATATAAACTGGTTTACACATTTTTACTCGATTTTACCAGTAGCATTTTTTGTGATAATTATAATTTGATCCTGACTTGACAATGGTATTACCTGTTTTTCATCAATTGAAATAATTTCCTACTCATTGACAGTTGCTGCTGGTGTCTGAGGGATAAAAAATATGGACCGGTATAAATCATTCAGTCTGCATATAAGCCCAAAAAATTGAAAATGTGTACAAGAATTGAAATGTAAAAAAAAAAAACAACAAACAAAAAAAAACAAAAAACAAAAAACAAAAAAAAAAACAAGCCGACCGGCTGATGTAGTGAAAAGCTAATAATTATTATAGTACCTGTTGACAAAAATATGATAAAATTAATACGGCTGGTGGCTTTGAAGATTTTGGAAGCATCTACTATTCTATAAAAGTCTTGTTATGCCCCTTTTTGAATATGCTGATCTTGTATGGGGCGATAAACATAATATTACCCTTATGTCTAGCTTGCAAGTTTTGCAAAATTCCCCATGTTCTAAACGAGTTGGGGATTGGGTCCGAATTGGGACCGCAAAGCATCTATGGATTGTTTGAAGGGACAGATTTTCCAAATCAATATGGCTGAAAGCGAGAGCAAAGCCAAACTAACTGTTAAACTAACTCAGGAAGATATTCCTGGGGCAAAACTTCCAAGGGATTCTGTTGAAAAATGTAGCGTTGTCCAGTTGAAGAGGTGGCTGCTTTGCAGAGGTGCAAAAACGACGGGAACAAAGAAAGCTTTAGTGTCGAGGTTCGTATCGAAGCTGGCAACTTTTAAACTAAGAACCTTTACACGCAATAAGTTATTTTTATTTATAACAACTTTATTTGTAATTATATGCCTTTTCAGAATTATTATTAAAATTTCCTAAGAGTAAAAATTTAATATAATCGAAATTTTCGAATTTAATAAAGTCCTCTCGTACTTATGAGTGCTCTAATTTTGACTTATAGAGTACACGACTACATCAAGCATGGATTTGATGTTAAATACTTGCGTGATCCGGATGGCGGCGTCAATTTGTTACGGAAAAAAGCTCAACTTGGCGTACTTGAGAATCAAGAGCCTGAAGTAAAGGATTCATTCCCAAAAGAAGGATTCCAACCAGATATAAAGGCACTACCAAAAATATCATTTGGAACTGTGTGGAGATTTATGATCGAAGGTGTAGAATGTAAAAAGCAGCTCTCCACTGCTAAGCCACTTGTTAAAGGATTCAACTTTTTTTAAATCTGGTCATGTCCTGTACATAGGCCACCTACAACAAAATGGCAAGCACTACATCAAAAGCCAAGTCCTCCCATCTATGAAAAAGGACAAAGTTTATACATGCTACTTAGTTATTAGTTCACTTGGAAAGATGCTAAGAGCCCACTGCAAATGCCCTGCTGGCATAGATGGGAGATGTAACCATGTTGCATCAACACTTTTTGCTTTAGAAAACTATTGTAAAGTAAGGGAAAAACTGGATGAGTCTGATGAGTCATGCACCTCCAAACCATGCAAGTGGAATGTGCCACGAAAGAGAAAAGGTGCAATACAGCCCATAAATGAGATGACTTTTGTGAAGCACGACTACACGAAAGAGAAGAAGATACGTAAGCTTCATCACTCTCCAGTAAATGCAAACCAAAATGCTTGTCGCGATGAAAACAAGTCAAGGTTTTTTGAAATGATGAAGGAGTACCAGAGGGTATCAGGAAACACTGTAGCTTGGACACATATACTGCCTCAGGAAGTAAAGAAACTTCAGGATGTAAAGGATTCTCTGCTTTCACCAGTCAAATGTCATCCCGTGTCAGCAAAAGAGCTAAAAGAAAAGTTTGAAAAAGCAAAGAGAAATCTTATGGTTGATGATTTACAAAGGCAAGATATTGAGGAACAAACTAGAGGTCAATCAAACACTGAATTATGGCATCGCCACAGACAACCAAGGATTACTGCCACAAAATGTTACCGTGTAGCTGTACAGAGAGAAAGTACGTCCCCTACTAAGATAATTAAAGATATACTTGGTTACAACAAGGCCTATCAAAGTAAGTCAATGGAGGAAGGACTGAAAATGGAAGACCAGATTATCAATGATTACAAGCTTCTCAAGCAAAGTCAAGGAGATGAAGGCATAACAGTCTCAAAATGTGGGTTTTTTGTTTCAAAAGAACATGGTTACCTTGGTGCTAGCCCCGATGGCCTTGTACATGATCCATCAGCCTCTGATTCAGAGGGACTTATAGAAGTTAAGTATGTCCAGACATCAAAGGATGAAACACTAGAAAAGGCATTGTTACGCAAGAGCATTTGCAAAAAGAACAGTAATGCATTGAGATTAAATGACAAACACAAATACTTCTACCAAGTCCATCAGCAAATGTTTGTTACTGGAAGAAAGTGGACAGATTTTGTTGTAAAGGGTTCAGGCTGTGATTCACTGTTTTGTGAAAGAGTACATTTTTCAATAGACCGCTGGAAGTCTATTTTGCCCAAGCTAGAATCCTTTTTTAATGACTGGATTGTTCCAGAACTTGTGTATCCTAGAGTCAAGTATGGAATTCCTAAATTGAATGCTCGTTCAGTTTAAAACAGTCAAAATCAATGTGTTCATTTCAGTAAAAGTGTGTAATTTAAGAAAACTATACAATGAAATAGGCAAATCAAAATTTAATGGGAATTAGTGGTTTGCCCAAATTATGTTGCACACTTTTTAGTACTATCAGAGTGTAAACAATATATTTGTGAAGGTAGAATGGTTTTCAAAAGCCTGTGAAACACGTACTAAGTTTTGTACATGTTTAGTGCTTTTCTGCTTAAATGCTTTTGTTTCTATTGTTTAATACTGGCACTATTAGAAAGTAAATAGTATTAATTGTTTCACAGGTTTTTTTAAAAACCACCCTATAGGTATTTGCTATAGCTAAGATTAGATAAACTTTGTCTTGAAAGAAACAGCGATCTGTTTTGTCTATACACATTAACTCAGTATTTTTATACATTGTACACAGTTATGTTCATATTTGACTGAGTAAAATATTTACTAACTACATGTGTAGTGTGCTTGGATTATTGTAATGACTTATAACCAGTCTGGTTACAGTCCAGTGGTATGATGGCAATATCATAATACATTATCAAACACTAGTTTATCAATGCTATTTTAATGCAAGGCAATAAAACATAAATCCATACCATTGTTAAGTATTAAAATGTTGCTTTATATTCACATAAATTTTAATTAATCAAAGGAGGGTAAAAATTAGAAAGTCCAGCCACTACAAATAACATATCAGATGCTATGGGGGCAAGAGTAATTGGAATTCGGTGGTCAAAGATGTGCCAATTCTTTATTCTCTCCATCAATCGCTCAACATGTACTCTCAAACTGGCAACAATCTTGTTGTGGTTGGTTTCTTCTTTTGAGAATTGTGTATCTTTAACCAAAAATGCTGGTCTAATCAGTTCTGCTCCCACAGAAGCAAGCTCATCAGTGCAGTTGAACCCTTTGTCTGCCATAACTTGATCATAAGGTTGTAACTTGTCCAACAGTCCACTTTGAGCTGTTATTTCCTTGTCAGAAGTTGAACCAGGAAATAGCTCACTGACAAAACATAAAGCACCACTGGGTGTTATACCAAGCAAGGCTTTCATCGTCGTTCTAGACTTGTATGACGAGTAGCAAGCAGATTGAGAATTAAGTGCTGAAGGTTTCTCCATCTCAAACTCTGTACAGTCCACAATAATGACACAGTCTGGATAGAAGGATTTGAAAATGTCAGGCATGTAGAGTTTGAGAACTTCCCTGGGTGGAATAGTAATAAGTGGCTCAAACTGTCCCCTCAGAAATCTCGTCCAGGCCCTTGAAACTTTGGATACAAGGGGTCTTGAGACACTAAACCGATGAGCAAGGTCCTTTTCCAGCAATCCAAGCCTTAATCTCACTAGTGTCAAAGTAAACTCTTGGAACTTGGTTAAACATCGAGGTCTGCCACACTGAATTCCTGGGTGCGTTCGTTCATGTTCATATTCAATATGCTCTGCTGCATCTTTAACCATGTCGAAACATATCAGCAGTGCATTATAGTCTGGTAAACCAGTATAAAAGGCAATGTCTTCAGCATTGTCTTTATATTTCTCAATATCGAAACGAAAGTTTTCAAGAGAGTGTCTTAGTCTTTTTGTTTCTTGCTCGAGTTTTAAGTTTGCCTCGAGTAGGTTTGCATTTTCTTCACTCAACTTGGCATTTTTCTCCAGCAGCTGATTCTTTTCATTTGTCAATTCACTGATGTCCTTTTTAAGCTTTTGCAACTCCTTTAACATTGTTTCGATTTCCAATCCTGTGAGAGATGTTTGTGTCTCACGATTGTTCTCATGTTTGACTGTCACTGATGCTTGTGCC